TTGGAGCCTTTAACATTCTCACATTCTTTGGCGTAGGTTTATGTTAGGGTTTATGCAATGGCAGCTATGCTTGTAACCTTAAAATATAGAGGAAAAAATGTAATCTATCAGAAATATAAAAAGGTCTTGGGCCATACTCTTGAAGATAAAAAACATTACTGTAGTTCTGCAGCTAAGCTCGATTGCTTAAAAAAGATTGCCACAGCAAGTTTTAGGAGAGGCTTGCTATAAAAGGTGCCAGAATGAGGACAGTGTACTTAAATGTGCCCCTGTCCCTAATTTTCCCTCCTGTCAATCTGGTCTTCCAGAGTTTGGGTTCTTCTCATGCAAAAAGTTGCATGCTGCATTCCCTTTGCTCATGCCTACTGCTCTTGGAGTTGAAGCTGACAGCCACAGGACTGTTTGTATTGTAACCAAGCTGTAAAAATGAAGAGAGCAAGGAATGCTGAGTCCCAAGAGGCCTCTAAAAGCAAATATAAAAACCTTGTTTGCATAGCTTTCAAGCTTTTGGCTTACTTGTGTAGAGGATATAAGTTCAGTGAGTGGAAACACATTATTTCAAAGAGGATCTGAGCATTTTTTCATTCACTTGCACATTTCACTGTGCAAGTCAAAAGGGCTTTGTAAAGGTGCAGTGAATAAGAGTGATGTTGAAAGACCAATGTTAGGAAACAATGTTTGATAAGAAAGGAAGATGTCAACTACTCAGGCTGCCAAGATGGATGCCAAGTCAGTCCGATCTTTGGTATAACTAGTGCAAAATAAATATCTCACATCCTTAATTGCTTACAATTCCTACCTCAGTTAATAGAATTGGTGTCACCATATCAATTTATTACAGTGTTTCCCCTGAAACTGAATCATAGCTGTTTAAAAATGTGTATATGTGTGTTTTATTAGTGCTTTGTAGCTCACATACTTTGGTTTCTGATTTTAATTATAAGATAATGACAGATACAGTAGCTTTAAATTTGCCTCCTAGTCAGATTCCTCAAAACAGAATCACCACATTTGGTGTCTGTTAAGTAAAAGTCAGACTTTTTTTTTCTCCTCTTTCCTCCTCTTCGTGTGACATTCCTGTTTGCAGGCTCAGGACGAGCTTATATAAAGGCCATGTGTTCCCACTGTCATCACTCTGAACTAGCTCAAGCTGCTCAGATACCAAATTCTGGGTCTAGACCAAAAAACATTTTTTTTCATAATTTCATGGAGACCTGTGCAACATATCCCGTGTTCCGGTAATAGAGCCTGTGTTTCTTATTGTTGGGGGTTTTTTTGTGTTCTTGGCAATAGCTGTCCCACGTGCCCCACTGCTTCTACCTGGGCAGTCAGCAGGAGCTGGCAAAGGTCCTGGCACTGTACTTAGCATCTAGGTGCAGGTAACTCAAACAAGTGACAGCTTACCTGGGTAGATGCTTAGTTTCCATGAATGCCTGTGCTATTACAGGATATGCAATATGTCCTTGCAATCAGATATGTGCTTAAAAAAGGATTTGAAATAATCCAAACTCAGCTGCTGCTGAGATCATACTAATAACCTTACAGGAGAGAGAAACCTTAAGCCAATGTACCATAGACTAGTGCATGGAGAATCAATACTAGTTTTGGTGTGTTTCCCTACTATTGGTTCAGTGGGAATCTTAAATGCTTTCCTTTGCAAAACCTTTCAAATGCAAATTCTCAAAGGAAAAAGTTATGACCTGTGAGTATTTGCTTGTCTGTCTGGCACAAATCTCAGCTTTTGCTGGACAGAATGATTGCCCCTTGGACAAAGGTATCTATCTATCTATCTGTCTATCCTTATCAATATGGAGAACTTGAGGGATTCTGGACACTTGTTTAGGAATCTTTAGCTAAGGTATTGCTTGCTGGAAATGACTATAAAGTGAGGAAGTAGTTCCATGATAGCTAGCTGTAAGTATAAAAAAACCCAACAGTATTAAAACTATTCAAGTAGAACTGCAAAGTACCTGTAGAAAGTGTAGCAACACCTTTGTATATGTTACACTTGTACTCATTTAGCGCTGTTTTTTTCGGTTGCCAAGGAAAAACAAACGGTGCTCAAAAGCAATACAGACAGAAGAAAATGTTCTGTGTTTATAAAATGTCACCAACGTATCCTGACAAATGAACAAATTCACAGTCACAAATGTGAAGGGAGCCAGTAAAGGTTTATGTTAAGACCATAACAAACTGAAGAAAATTAGACCTAGACTGACAGATGTAGGCACCTATGTAACTGCATAACGTTTTCTTATTAGCTACTGAAGGAAATTCTGTTCAGCATATTTTCATTCCCTGTTGTGCATGTGCAGTGTATTTATTTAAAGCTGATACCTCTTGTGTTTTCCATGTAGACTTTAACAGCCTAAATGGTGATAAACCACTCTGTTAGATGTTTAAGAGCCCAGCATTAACTTGTTAGATCTTCACATGAACCTGCCATATAAATTGCTTCTTTTTCTTCTCAGACATGTTTCTGCTATTAGATGATGACTTCTCTAGTCTCAGTTTTGGTTTCACAATAAAACTGATACTCAGGCTTTTTTTTTAACCTGTGGCAAAGCAGCAAAATCCTGCTTTGTTGATAACACCATAAAAACGTGATGGGACATGGCTTCCTTGAAGTTTGAGTTGAACCCTGTTGTTAGTTACCTTTTTTGCACAGTCTATGCACTCACTTGTACTATCAAGATAATGATTGTGTTGTTCGTGTGGTCCAAATGCCAGCAGCCATTCTGGCACATCATAACTGGGAGACCTAAACAATAAATACTCTCTTATCTCCTACTTTCAGTTCCTCAAGCTTTCATTCTTACTGTGTCAGTGTTGTTAATGCTTAGCTTCATATACTGGGTATTACAGCCAGGTACATAACTTCCGTATTCTGTCTTACAGATGTTTTTTGTTGACATGTATAGCTGTTTAGAGTTAACTAACAGAATTGTTAGTTTATGCGTTCAATGTATATAATGCCTTATATTATCTGTTCAATTGGTTTTCCCATTAACTTCAACCATATGCTATAAAGCAATTACTGAAGTTTTATTTGAGATTGAAATTAACTTGCAAAGAGAACTGGAAGACTTGACCTTGCAGGAGTTTTCTATAATTTTCATAATTTAAATTCTCCAATTACTTTTTTTGTGAGCATAGTTATTTAATTGTCTTAGTGGTAGCCTGGCCAGATTGTTCTAGAAAATGCTTATAATACACAGGTTGGTCGTTTTGGATGGTGGTGGGTCATAGACAAAAAGATGAACCCTCAGTTTTACAAAGCTATTGCAGTTTGACAACTGGTAGTTGTGGTGATTTTACTATAATCTGACTGCTTGCTGTTTTGCTGGTGGTGTTTATCTGTGCTCAAAGTAAGTCTGCTGTGGTTGAAAGACTTTAGGAAAAGCCTAAGTGAAGTGACAGCAGGGAGGAGCATTGGCAAGGTGCAGTGACAGGAAATGTGCATTTCAGGGTAGTACACCAGTGTTACTGCTTGATTTCTACTCTTCAATTCATATTGCAATTGTTGTATTTGCAACAGCTTTAATTGCTTTTAATATATCAAAATGTTTAATCTTGGTGCGTAGGAAGCTGAATTGTCTTAATAAGAAAGTCAAAGTGATTCTGGTAGCCTCTTTAGTGCTAAATTCATTACAGTGGAGAAGCTCTCCACCTTATTTACCTAAGTGCATAAAGTGCCAAGTTCTTGTGTTCCACAAATGGTAACTTTTTCTTTTACTCATATTTAGGAAGGCTGTGGAAGAGCTGCTTAAAGAGGCAAAACGTGGGAGAACCAGAGCTGAAACAATGGGAGCTATGGGCTGGTAAGTTGTGCCAAGAGGAAATGAATGCTATGACCAATGCCAAAATAAATTTTACATTTAATGTGTGACAGAAATCTTCTCTACCTTTTAATTTGCTTAATGTTTAAATAATTTGTCTTTATCCAGATACTAATTGCCTGGGCAAAAATTTGAGTCCAGATGAAAAAGAAGCTGAAGTAAATTCTTGCTGCATGAAATTGCTTGACTGAATGTGTTGAGGTCAAAGCAGTTGGAAAACTGGTAGTAGCTTCTGTAATAGTGTTTCCTTATAATAGACTGAATTGCGAAGTTTGAATTGAAACCTCGTGAGTCGTTAAAACAGTGGGTAGCTTCAGTGTGCATGCTGGGTTGGATTGTGTTTAAGTTAAGAGAACTCATGGCCTGACAAAGAAATCTAAACCCTTAATAAAAACAATTAATTATCCTCTAGTAGAGAATCCATGTGTAAATTGCAGCCAAAAATGAACTCAATGTATAATCCGATTTTGGAAGGAGATATTTTTAAATACTAAAAAAACCTGTTAAAACACATGGGCTAATTTGTATTTAAATCTTAAGTGAAATACAGTAGTAATTCTTCAGTGCAGTATTTCCGTTTTTACAGCTAGATGATCATGGCATGCAATGCATGTGCTTGCAATTAATGAAGCAGTAACTTTCTGAGAAGAGTCATTCAACTTAAAATACCGTATATGACACTGATAAGAAGCTAGTGGATCTTGGGATGTTTATACAAGTAGTGCATCAGTTGATTGTGTTAAACTCTGTTGTAGATATGGTTTGGTTTCCTCCACCAACAGTAGTAAAAGATAAGCATGCCCAGTTAGTAAAGTTCTTGGCTGATTTCTTGGCTCTGAGTGTTTTAGTAGCTCTGAAGAGATTCAAATGGTGTCACACTGAAAACAGTTTATTCTTTGTTTTCTAAACAAGTTTTGGGATTTTCATATATTTTACCCAGTATTTCTGCTAGGGTTGCAGTTTACACTCTTAATATTAAAACAGTTACACTGATTTAATCCCCTTGAGTGGTTATAGCTATACTGATACAGCAGGCCTTTACCCTTTCAGCCTTGCCAAATGACCAGGGAAACCAGTGCAGATAATCAGCACCAGGAGATGTTGCATGCATCCAGTTACTGTGGATTTGCAAGTTACTTTTGGATATGGAAACTGATTATTTCTATTGGGAGATAACCAGGTGTCCCTATGCAACTTCCACTGCTGCTTGTGCAGTCAGGAATACCTGCCAGGAGTGTGTATGGACTTTTATTCCTGGCTTTGGCTACTTCTTCCATGTCTGTGAAAGACTAGTGGTCTGCTCAGCAGGCTGTGATGATCAGCTCAGGGTAACATGCAGTTTGCTAAAGCGTGGTGTCCAAGACCTGACAGAGGAGGGGATAGCCAATGGTGACCTGTTCTTCAGAACAGCTACAGATTCCACTAGAGTGACAGAGTGGATGGGTAGGCCAGGGTTGTGTTAGCTGTGTAGGATGAGGGGATTGTTAAGAAGCCTTCAGGCAGAGGAAGACTGTTGATATAAGGATTGACATAGTGATACCCTGAACTGAGACTGTTATAGTAAGGATCCCTTCACCTGCAATGGAACATGAGACTAGCTATACTGGGTCAAACAGGATCCCTGTCTGCAATGTCCTGTCTCCATCAGTGGTCAGGGAGGAAGTGAGGAGAAGTACAACACAGTAGCTGGGCTTCCTCAAGGTGCTATCCCAGCTTTGGACAGTCTGCAGCTCAGGATATCCTGCACTCAGAGATTATTTTTTTAATGTATGATGCTTCTCTAGGAATATTACGCTTTCTGAATTTATCCTTGGAGAGACTGGTAGTAATCTAATTTGTGACAAATCTGCTGCCAGAGAGTTTGGCATAGGTTAGTGTACAGCTGCTGTGTGCAGCCATAAAGAAGCTATAAAGCCCCCCATAGACAGACTCCCAATAAGTCTATGTTGTCTAGTTCTGCAAGTGGAGGAGACAGAACAGCAGCCAGAAGCCTACACTTGTTCTCTTCCCTTTAATATTTTTCATACCCCATTATGCTGTTCTGGTCCTTCTGAAAGGGTGCAACAACTAAGTATTGCATGTACACATGGGAGATGACATAACCCGTAAGATGTTTGAAAGGAGTTAAGTGTCACTCTATAGCAAAATGCCATCAGATGTAACTCATGTTATGGGAAAACCTGAAGGGCTTTAGTAGTTAAATCTAGGACTGACATGTACCCTTGCAATTGTAAGCTACTGTGAGGAAGGTAACTGCTCCTCTGAGCTTTGTGGATACCAAATGAAATTAGCAGAAAAGTTAGTTCATGAAAATGTGTGTTAATAGACCAAATCCAGGAAAGCATGAAGGTAGAAGCAAAGAGACAAAGTCATCATCAGCTTGGCTAAAAGCAGTCTTAACAGGTAAACACAAAACCTTCCTTCCTTGCCAAACTCGAAATGCTTGCAGGTGTGTTTCATGAGGACTTCTGGGATTTCCTCAGCCCTTTGTCAGAGGAGTCCTGGAGAAGAGATGCACAAACCCTGGAGACATCTAGTGTAAGGCCATCAATCCCGCATTGGCACTGGATAGTTGAAGCAACTCGGCCTATGAAGAAAAGATTTGTTCTGCCATCTGTCTTTGGGTAAGGAGAAGCAGAGGCTGCTACTGCTCATACTTCACTGATTCCAGTTTATATTGGGCACCAGCCATTGCTGGATACTCGGAAATAAATTTTTGAAGTCAGTGGCATTTCACAGGATTTGGTTAAAGGGAGGTGTGTGGGGAGGTGGCATTCCCTGGGAACAGTATTGTGCATTCCAATACAAAGGAGTAGTGTCTTCTGGTGGGTGTTGATTGAAGCAAAACCTTAGCCAGCAAGCCTCTGAACATGTTTTGGGATTGCTTTCAGGTTCAAGCCACTGCTTCATTACTGCCCAGACTGAGTAGTTCTCCATAGCTTGAGTGCACTGCTTGATGAAGTTCCCCAGGCAACCCTACCTAACTTTTTGTTGTCTTCTTGTGTGAGATGGATAGTCAGCTGCTGTTTGAGCCCAAGTTGCAAGCATGCAAGCTAGCCTAGCTGACAGGTACAGAAAAAATATACCAAGTGGTCATCCTTTAGCCCACAGTCTTATACAAAGACTCAGCTTTGAAATACGTTACTAGTATTCCAGTTTGGGAATGTTTTACCAATGTTACAATGTGTTCCAACTTTGCTGTAAATGACATGGGTAGGTGCTGCAACAAGTAGGGATTAGATGACAGTAAAAGGCAGGCTTGTCCCAAACAGGGAGCTTGGTGATGATACCAGGCAAGAGCATCTGCAGGAAGGGAAATTACCTGAGACTCTCTGCACATGGAGTAACTATCAGTATTGCCACTGGGCTGCGTGAGCTCTTTGATTCAGAGTCTCACTGCCCTCCAGGCTCTCAGGACTGCTTAGATTGGCAGTTATTAGCTTCATAGGAAGTTAATCCAAGAAATACTGGATATTCCTATTTGTAGATCTCACAATATTGCCTTTCAGGTATTGAGTTGTTCCTTGAATGTCCTCGAGATTCTGGCTCTCAACACTACAGTATTCCTAGTTCCTCCAGTGCTCTGTTTGTATGTACTCTGTGTCCATAATGATTCTTGTTGGGGGTCTCCCATATCCTTATGATCCCACATGATGTAGATTCTGATTATGATGTTTCTGTTTCAAGTGTTGGTAGAGCTAATTGCAAGTAAGAAAAGCTATGAGAGATGGGTAAGGAAGAATCCTCTTCTTGAAGCGTCTTAATCCTGCAAAAGTTGAGCAAAAGAGGGCAGAATCTGGGGCTAAATCTCAGTGATGTTGGAACTTCAGAGGTGAGAATAGACAAGAGAGCAGCTGTCAGAAACACTTGAAGGGCCAGCTGGATCCAGGATGGGACGTGGTGGACAGATATTGTAAGAACATTTGAAACAGATAAATGTGTCCTAGATTCATCAGATAGAATAAAGCTGTAAGGTATTGGGATTTTTATTGTGTGTCTAGGTAAAGTCAAGCTAAAAACTTTAATGGAGAAAAGCATTTAAAATGCCATACAAAAGCTACTGAGTGGAAAAGGTCTAGAGGCTTTCCCTGCCTCCAGCCTCCCCAATGTATAGGACTGATCTTCAAAGATTTGGTAGCAAGTGAGCTGACGCTGAACTGAATGTAATCTTGGCTTTAAAATCTTACCTAAAATAAGATATGGAAAATGAGATATTTTAGGATGGTTTGTTCATATCTGCATTGCAAGATTAGATGAAGTTGCAGAAAGGAGATAAAAGTTGGAAGCATTAAATTATTTTTAACCCTATTGTAAAGTAATCCTAAAATTGCTTTCATTCCTATAAATAACTTTCTGTTCAGTATCAAATATGTTAGTCTGAAGTAGTGCAGAATACAGAATAACAAAGGTAATGTTGAAGGGTGTGAGAACACTGGAACTGCAAAATGCTGTATTGAATCTTGTCTTTGAATGGGTGTTGCATGACTGTGCAGAAATACTGCACTGTGATTCCACTATATCTCTTTCATTTGAATGTGGAGAGAAGGAGAAACTGAAATCTTGGAATCAGAGCACGGGTTCCCATCCAAAGTCCTGCCAGCTACATCAACTGCCAAGACCATACATAAAAGCTTTCAGTGTCATCCCAGGCATCCTCTTTTGTAAGATCCCCTGTGAAAAGATAACAGCCCAGATTAGTTAGTTTGGCAAAACAACCTCTAGCAGCTCTGTTTGTTTTGCTTTCAGTCTTTCTTCTGTTAAGTACGGTATTTTCCATGGCAGTTTGGAAGTGGTAGAAATGTACTTGTAAATTCACACGTAATGAACTCCGTTTCCTGGAAAGATCTGATTTACGCTGTGTGCTGAGGCTGACTGTGCCAAGCCTGTTTGATGTGTCCAGTTACTCAGAAGAGAAGAGACTGTGGCTCATGGCAATGTACTCTTGTGCCTTAAATGGTGTCAGCATGTTTTACTGTTAAGAG